TGTCATCAATTCTAGGAAGAGGGTAACTGTCTTTCTTCGTAACCTCATTCAACCGGCGATAGTCAACGCAAAATCTTGTTGAGCCGTCTTTCTTTCTGACGAGAACGATGGGAGATGCCCATGGACTCGCTGAAGGCTCGATGACATCGCCTTCTTCCATATCTTTTAACAGTGTTCGCACCTCTTCCTGTTTAGCAAACGGTAGAACGTCTTGGATTTTGCTTGATCGGGGGATGATCGCCAGTATCTATTCTATGTTGTGTCAAACTAGTTCGACCCACGTCAGAAGACGAGCGGGAGAAAACAACTTGAAGATCTTTAATGACGCGATCGGCAGCATTTTTCTCTTTATCGTTTAATTGTGCATTCTGCAAAACTCCGATGTAATGCTCTCTGAGGACACGGATTCTGGGATGTTACTCTTTTTTCAACGCTGGTTACTGGAGTACATGTTGCAACCACTTCACCTTTCTTAATAACTCTCGACTTTTCAGTTACATTGGCGACTCTCACCGGAATAACCGTTCTGGATAGGTCGACGAGTGTTGAGGCTACTAATACTCCTTTTGGGATATTACAGTTATTGGGATATTCTATGATGCCGTAGCGGAAATTTCTATTTTCGGCTATGGATCCAGGAAGTAAAATTTCTGTTCTTGCCGGTATTGTAATATAGTCTTGTGCTATGATTTTATGGACAGATTTAACTTCTTCATCATTAACGAAGAAATAACGCTATGTCCTCAGATGTAGAATGCAATTCGTTATTTTAAAATCCAAGGAAAAATTGTATTTCCTTAGAAAGTCCAATCCGAGTATGCAAGAATCAGTGATCTCTGCTACATATGCCGTGTGATGGTAAGAGCGGCACTTCCAAACGTGGATGTTAACATTTACTTTTCCGTCGATGTCGATCTTCTCACCGGACACAGTCTGGAGGGTAACGCAGGGCGGCGTCCAGATAAGTTTGTTTCCTAGTTGTTGAGCCAAATCTTTTCGGATGATGGTGACGTTGGCTCCTGTATCTATAGTCATATTGCACGGAACTCCATTAATATGTCCTATTATGAAAAGTCCATTACTGCCGCCTCTCACTGCAGAAATCTGAAGCGCTTTAAACGGGGGTTTTCATTATCTGGCAACCTCCGCCCCCGCGAGATGGCCACTAATTAGTTTCCCTGCTGCTTGTTAGAAGCGGTCTTAACATCAGTACCCTGGGGTGTTTTGCAGTTTCGTCGTATGTGTCCTTCAGCACCGCAGTTCCAGCACTTAACGGTCGGTTTCTTCTCACCAATATTCCGTCTCAAGGCGTTCAGTTGTCTAGTTAAATCGTCAAGTCGAGCGGTGACTTGATCCCCCTGGCTCCTGGACTTGAGCAGCTCTGACTGGGTGGCGGTCTCGACGAGTGGCTTGCTGGGCTGCCTCAAATTTCATGGCGTACACTAGAGCACTTTTTAAATCTTTTACATCCGCCTTCGTAGAGCTTCAGTATCTCGGATGCCGTCGATAAAGTATTGCAAGGACAGGATTTCCTTGTTTCTGTCGGGCATTCCGAAAAGGCGAGATGGGACAGCCTTTCAACATCCGTGGCGAGCTCCTGAAGTGTTTCGGTAGGCTTCTGTTTGACGAGATTTTAATTGGAGCCTGCTGTAGTCTTTTAAACACTTCTCCCCAAAGCGCAACTCCAAGGCGCCGGACAGAGCTTCGAAATCTAACCTTTTGTTTTCGGGAAGAGTCTGAAGGATATCCGCTGCGTCGGCTCTTAAAGAAGCGGCGAGATGACAGGCCTTAGCTTGGGAATCCCATCCATTCGCATCCCCATCCGAAACGATAGAAAATTGTGTCTTATACACCTGCCAGGAGGTCTTCCCATCATATGTGGATAGCTTCAGAGGTGGACGAGCAGGCATTGGTAAGAATTTTAAAATCATCACTCTCCTGCTCCCTGCCGACGCTACGAATTTTCTTTGGCAACGTATCCATTTCTTTTGGCAACTGCAGAAACTCTCTCGTCAATTTGTTCTTTTACAGAAGAAACTCTTTCTTCTATTTCTTCTTCTTTCACTTCACCGAAGAAACTCTTTTCTTCAATATGTCCAACTTTATTTTCAACTGCGTCAATTCTGCCTTCCCATACCTTCAAATTTATTTTCACTATTATGCAAGTAATTTCTCTTTTCATTTCTTCTTGACCAGCTTGAACGGCTTTCATTTCGTCCTAACGGATTTCCTGGCCCAATTTCATTTCTTCCTTTAACGGATTCCTGGCCCCAATTTCATTTCTTCCTTAACGGATTCCTTGGTCCCAATTTTCATTTCTTCCTGACTACCATCCATCTTTCCTTTGACTGTTTTTATTCCCTCTTTAACAGAATCCTCATTTTTTTCTGACCAGTAACCATCTTTTCTTTCACTTCTTATTTAAATGATGCTTGACCAGCTTTCCATCTTTTCTTGGAATGCAGCAAAAGCACTAATGAGCTGCCTCAATTTGTTCTTCCATCGCTCTTGTTATTGGCATTCAAAATCCCACTTCTGACACCAAAAATTGTTGCGTGCGTACGGGTTCGTTATGAAATGAATGCACAAGTCCGATGAAAAATGAACAAAAATTTAATTATTATCACACAAAAATGCTTAAATTTTCTCAAATTATCATGCAGTATTACAATATCTCACAGTAGTTTTCTTTTAACTACTCAAATGTCAATAGAACGTAATTCAAAACAGCTAAAGAACGCTAATCCGCGAATTCGCTACAATCAACAACAGTAGTTTTCTAAACAACAACAAACTAAGCAACTACTACAAACTGAGATGTTCCTTCCTCCTTTTATAAGATTTTAAAATCACGCGCTAGAATTTTCCAGCGCTTTCTCGAAATCAAAAAGAGATATTTATTTATTTAACGCAGGCGCTCTTGTATTTTTAATTTTTCCGGCTTAGCTTTCTTTTAATATTCGTCACGCGCTGCACTGCGCGAGAAATAAAACCATTTAATTTATAATTGAACTAACATTAGCTTTTTAAATACCAAATTCGTAACACTATTTTTTAAAGGATGCCAACCTAATGGTTCAATCTTTAACAATGAAGCTTAGCGATGGCTTAAAGTTTTGGAATCATACATAATAGCTATGCAGGATTATCGCAATAAATATGATGTAACGTGGTATAATTTATCCAACTGATTTGTTATTAATGGCAATAATAAAAATTTTTCAGGGTCCGTCAGAAAAATGTATGCGCTCTTCAACGAAAGAAAATTCTTTGTTGTGTGTTAATGCCGAACTTAATTATAGGTTAATATAACTACTATACATATAATGGACTAGGTTAGCCTTAATACCATCTTCCTGAAACTGTACTGGTACAGCTGCTTAGAGTGCTCGAAGTGTCAGAATGGTGGCCTTTAGCACCCGGACACGTGAACGGCTAGCGTCTGCTTAAAAGGGGACTCATACACTTTAAAGCCCATAGGATGTTCGAATAGGTGACTGTTGCAAGAATTAGGATAATTTATTTATTTTAAAAGCAATTACTACCAACCTTTTACAGCTGACTACATAATATAGCTGCTTTCTGAAATAGTAATCAGAAAGGTTGTGTTGCCACAAATATTTTTATAATTTAATCCGCTTTGTGACAACATTTTTCGTCATGTTTCCAACTTGCGCGCACAGTTTAAAACATTTTGTTTCATAATTTAATTCCATATTTAATATATAGCTTTTATAACATTTGGAAACTACCGTGAACCTAAAATTCTAAAAATTTTATGTTAAATTTTTATTTTATTTTGAGTTGAGTTTATAAAATGTATTTTATTTACAAAATTTGTAATGTTTTCGTCCATAAAATTTTTCAATATTAAAATATTCATCAGACTGTTGGTTCAGTTAAAAAATAATGCCCATATAAAGAATTTCAAATTTCAAGTATGTACCATTAGCCATTTTTAAAATACCATGCGCGCAAGGTGGAAGCATGGCGAAATATTTTGTCACAAAGAGGATTAAATTACAAAAATATTTGTGGCAACACAATCTTTCTGGTTACTAGTTTCCAAAGCAACTATATTATGCAGTCAGCTGTAAAAGGTTGGAAGTAATTGCTTTTAAAATAAATAAAATATCCCAATTCTTGCAACAGTCACATATTCGAAGATCATGAGGGGTTTAAGGTGTATGAGTCCCCTTAAACAACTTTGGCCAGTGTGCCCGCGAGGATTGCTGCACACGTCGCTGCAATTTCTTGACAAAGGACCTCCAGCATAACCGGTTTCCTGAGCTACACGACAAAGTTCCTCAAGCACTAAAGTATCTTTAATAACCACAGGTCACATACCCTCATCTTCTGAAGTAACTTTATAAATTCCACTACAAATTTTTATATTCTATAGAGATTTTTGACACGCAAGGTGAAACGGGACAGCTTCTGTCCTAAGGCTGCCTCTAGGCGCCAATCAGAATTATGTGCCGTCCCGCCACATGATCAATCTACAATGTGGCGACCCCACAGAGCAAGGGCAGACAGTACGGTCCCTGCCGAACCTTACTCTGTCCCGAGGACCCTCAGGCCTTCTATGAAGTCTGTTTGTTTGCCCACGTGGTTGAGACTGCCTAGGTAAAGATCCTAACGAGTACTTCCCAGGGATTTACCTGCGTCAACCTCCGGGGGAAAGGCCTAGAGACAATAGAATGCTCCTCCAATTAAGTACAAATGCTGATAGTCGTATAACAGGCGAGACAGCAACTCAGCTGGTGATAAGTAAGGTCCGCCGAGACCATTCTGATTAACTGCCATACATCATGTGCTACTCACGAGAATACTGACTCACATTGAACAAACACCATGCTACAGATTGAAAAAGCAATTCAGTTCAACTCCGAAACAAATACGTAGATAATAACTGCATTTTTCTGATGGACACTGTGTATCAAGATGATCCATGTATGTAAAGTGTGTTTGACAGAACAATGTTCTTATTCTTTCTATAGGTTTTGCGTGGGTGATCGGTTCTACCTTTTCGACAACAAGGTGCTATGCGAGTACGACTACGAAGAGCGGGTTCTCTTCGCCTCGTTGCCCAGCTATTCCACCTATAATAGTCTTGACCAGATCCAGAGACAAACAGACAGTCTCACTCCTTTGTCGCCGACTGTGGACGACGCTTCCAGTGGCTATGGAAGCCCGAGTTCTCTCAGAAGTCCAAGTTCTCTCATCAGTGATGGGCACTAGCCTGTGAACTGTTTGATCCACTGTTGGACTTTCTTCAGAAATGTTTTACGCGCTTAAAAGAGGCATTATTTTATAAAACAAAAAAGAGGTGAATCTCAGATGAACATTATTTTGACCATTTGCCACTTGTAAGCCTCGCTTGTAATTCGAAGTGGCTAACGTATCGAGAATTACTACATTGACAAGCAAATATCACGGGGAAATAATAAGGTACAACTCTGGTGGTGATTCACTGGGAAGAATCTAGAATTTATCTTCTACCACAAGGAATGAGCATTTTAAAATATTGTAATTCTTATTTGTTTTAATCTTATTGTTTTACAGCTTCTTATCTTCAATAATCATTCTTTACATAGTAAAAGAAACCAGCATTATACATATGCGTTACCGTTGAAACGATTTTCTGAAAATACAAATAAAATTCTCTGCTTAAAATTTATTAAAACATAGGCATATTAATTGACCTATGGCTTACAAATGCAAATTCGCTAAACAATTGGTCATAAATGAGGAGGAAAAGTAAAATTCAGTTTAGACAAAATAATTCTGTAATTATAAACATACCGTATAAGTCGAGATATTTTGGACACAAAAAAAAAGACTTCAAAGTGGGGGGTGGGGGGGGTGGGGTCGACTTATACGCGGGGCCATAAAAAATTAAAAGAATCGGAAGTTCAAAAATTTCTTTATATATTGCAGTTTTCTTCCCGCACTCAAATTGGACGACTTATCAAATAAGTCACTTACTTGAAGTAATTTCATGACTTAAATTATGCGACGAACTAATCACAGAGTTTCATACTTTAACTATAGTAAATTTTGATTAAACCAAAGAATTTTCGGCCCCCGAACAACCGATCAATATCCAGCAATAAAAAAAGTTTCGCCAACACGCCAAGAAAAGAGAATTGCAGATAGTTTTTACGTACGTATAAGTCTTTATAATAGTTATTGTTCATGCGTACACGTCAAAATTTAAAAAAATAGCCCACGCAATAACTGAACAGTTTTGAATATTTCTTTTAACTTTTAAAAAGGGAAAATGCAGATAGATTTTACGTACGCGAATCTTTTCCGGAACAAATTCTAGAAGGCTACTATATAAGATCATTTTTCCCCAATTATCCAGTTATCCCAATATGTATGATGACGAGCCAATGACGACAGAAGAGTTCTATGAAAGGTTTGGTGAATCTGACCATGAATCGGACGTTGAAGGATTTTGATTTTGTTTATTTACCAAGGTATTTTTTATCGTAGCTTTTTTTTTCTCAGATGATTTTGAATAAATGTAGTACTTAAAAATTTTTTTTTGAAGTTTCTCGATCGATTTCGGAAGTGGGGGGTCGACTTATACGCGAGTTTCTTATATTCTATGAGTTTTGTATGTCGAAGTGGGGGGGTCGACTTATACGCGGTATCGACTTATACGCGGGTATATACGGTAGATAGTTAAATATTTTAAAATTTCCTCCTAAAAACTAAAATTCTGAGATTTAAAATCTCAAATTTAATCAAATGCAGACAATCTAAAAGAAATATATTTAATGTGTAGTTTTTATATAATTTTAAAAAAGGAGGGAATCTAATATTCATAGGTTAATATTCTAAATCTAGCACGAAGACCACAAAATACATTAGCCAATGAGCTGAAATAATGATAACATTAATAATAACGATAACACCTATAATAGAATGAACCCTCCCTAAGACGACCACCTATGATTCCAGTCGATTTGGGTCGTATTTGGAAATGGTCATTTTAATAAGGTCTCATATTTAGTATCGGTGTTATAAATAAGTCAACTGCTTATTTATCACATATTAAATATTATATATTATTGGAAATACTGATCACTTTTGGAAGTGATCGTTTTACAGAGGTGGTCGTCGCGAGAGGGTTCAAAGTATATCCAGTTGGGGAATATCTTATGTAGTCCAATTGACTTTAAGATTCGTATTAAAAAAAAAAAAAAAAAAAAAAAAAAAAAGAACTAATGTCACTTTTAGGTCAAATTTTACTCAGTTTGGAGTATTTTTCTTTCATCTACAGAAAAATATTAAAATTTAATTCTTACTAACCTCATAAACAATGAATATGAAATTAGCAATGCATAATGATAGCATAATCTTGTTTAGAGTGTCTCTAAAATTATATTCTACTATAAATTTTATTTAAATTTTAACAGCCAGTTTAAATTTTAAAAGTCCAACATCATTGTCAGGTAAAATAAATTTAAAGAAATACAAGTGATAAATTCTCATGAATCTGGAAAATGAGAGACATTTCTTTTAATATTTACTACATTTGCGTAAAAAAAAAAAAAAAAAAAAAAAAATTCAAATTAACCAAACTTAAACATAAACTAAACATAAAACTTTAAGAAATGTTTTTTTTTAAAAAATAAAAGATTAGTGACATGTTAAACATAATGTAAAAATGAATGGATTAAAAACTATTATTAAGGAAAGAAATGCTGGTAAATGAAATTATTGAATGCTCATAAATGAATATAATTAAATAAATCAGTAAAATAAGATGATAAAATAAATCAGTAAAATACGACATGAGAATACTACCACAAATATAAAATAAAGAAAAATAAACAACCTAATAAACATTTACTGAAAGAAAATAATAAATATGTATTGATAAAATCTTGACATATTTTATGCTTTTAAATAAATAAATCTGAAAATGAATTTTAAAACATAAACGTATAAAAATAAAACTTATAAATATGAACTAATTCGTTATTGAAGTATTTCAATAATTATGTTACTCACTTTATCAGTGCGTGCTTATGTAAGCAAAAAACATTATTTATATATTTATTTAATACCACAAGAAAGAAAATTTCGTCAATATAATTGAACTTGCGTTTTTTTTTTTTTTCCAGAAATAGCATTTTTAGTGACTATAATGCTGATAAGTACACATCATGTGTTTCCCCAGCTTGTCCTTGTGTATGATAAATGCTTGATCAAAAACAGCGTCAGCCACTGATATATTAGTCAGTATCAGTGTATGTATTTGTAAATGGAGGATAGAAAAAAAAATTGGAATGCCACATTCAAGTTAATATAGTCATTGCCTCTATGTACAAAGCTGAATTTATTGAAAAATATTAAACTGTAAAGTAGAGGTTGCTTCCACAAAATGTATTGTAAATATATTTGATGGTAAATGTGTTAATAAAATAATTGGATGAAAATATATATTCTTATTTCATTTATTTCAAACACGAAGAACCACAAATGTTAACTGAACTCACATACCCTTCACAAGAACTTTTTTAACATTTTGTATAAAGATTAGGTATTTTTGGCTTACAGATTGTCTTAAGTACTGGTAATCAATTACGATTATTTATTGTTTTAGTTTATTTAGTTTATTAGTACTATAACTTATTTGTGCAAGCCTTTGTGAAACACGCAGAGTTGAAATTAGAGTTAGTGAGAAAAAAAACTGCCGGTAATTTAACGACATATTTTCAGTCCAAAAATCTTAGTAAAATTGTAAAAGAAAATAGCACAAAAATGGCCAAAATTATGGCCAATCTTAAAACTTTTTTTTATTTCTAATAGCCAAACATTTTACAACAAAACCAAAAAAAAAATAAATATCAGCAAATATTAGCAGTTGGCAGGACAGAAGCAAGAGTGAAAAATGTGACGCATTCAGAAATAAAAACATGGAAGAAAGGGGAAAAAATACGGTTTCCAAATTTTCCTTTTGGCTAATAAAAGTTTCCGTGCTGAGTTTTGGATTCAGTTTGCAAGCTATCTGTGTCACTAGTTGTTTAGTTTAATGCCTCTTGTAATTAATTTACATCTGTTCATTGCCCTGCGTTGGCAACACATTTTCCAGTTATCGTCTGTAGAATTCGATCGTTAGAATTTAGTTGGCGTGTAACTGTTTTAAAACTTATTCTTAATTGAACGACGTTGTTGGATTACTATTAGATGTTTACGTATGGATCTTTAATTACTATTTGTTTACAGTTAGATTTGTATAAACTGGGAGTAGCTGAATTCATTAACATTACTTCGAAAAACGAAACTTCTCATTCAATTTCGGCGCCATTTGATCTACGGCCAATAAACACTTGGAAGCACAGCAGCGAGATTGGAAGTTCGTCAGCAATTAAGAGACAGATAAGTGCATATTTATTTTCCATTTTTCATTAAATTTTGACTTTTGACGCTTATATATATATATATATATATTATATTGTTTTCATTTTGACTTTCGATACTTCGATTACTTATTATCAAGCTAGCAAAATTAAACTGCGTGGTAGAGTAAAAGCGGCCTTTACAATGCTTCAGAAATAGTGTTACTTCCGATTTTATCAAAAAATGAATTAGTTTTATATATGGAGCGCAAAGAAAGGATTTATTCAGATTTTGATAAATTCGATAAGTAATTACCAGAGGAGCAGTCAGAAATTGGAATTTGAATAGAAGTATTGATACTATTCCGTTTTGAAGACCGTAAAAAAAATTGCAGCGAAAATGTATGCGCAAAAGAGCCAAATCTAGCAAACGCGCCCATTTAACAGCGCGCCAAATCTAGCGTATGCGCTGATTTCAGATGGTTTCGTTCTCTCTTTTTTTTTTTCATTAAAAACAACTTTCTTTTTCTAATAGTTTTGTTTTTATTTTAAACTCGCTCTCTAAATAATTTAGTTTAATTAACTTAAATAGTTTAATACAATAGTTCATTTTTTTATTAATTTAGCGAATTAATTAGCAATAACATTTAAATTCCCAGTTTTTTACTTGATTTGCTTATGCTTCTGCATTTAAATGATATTGTAGATTAGTTCGAGAATTAAATCTTTTATATGTTTGCAGATTTTTAAAAAGATTTTTTTTTAAAATTATTTTTGGCTTTTTTTCTTTTTTTTAGGCTTTTAAATTTGCTTTTTTTTTACTTTTTTACCTGTTTTGTTAAATTTTAATTTAAATTTGTTTTAAATTTAAATTTCATTCCTTGCAGCAATGGCGCAAAGAATCTTTAATTAAATTTGTATTTAAATTTAATTTTTTAAATTAAATTGAATTTATTCTTATGAAACAATTTGTTTGTACTTTAGCAGCTTTAGCGCTAATTACCTGGTTTGTTTCTCTCTCTTCTCTCTCTCTTTTTTTTTTTTATTAAAAAAAAACTTTCTTTTCTAATAGTTTTGTTTTTTATTTTAAACTCGCTCTCTAAATAATTTAGTTTAATTAACTTAAATAGTTTAATACAATAGTTCAGTTTTTATTAATTTAGTGAATTAATTAGCAATAACATTTAAATTTCCAGTTTTTACTTGATTTGCTTATGCTTCTGAATTTAAATGATATTGTAGATTAGTTTTCGAGAATTAAATCTTTTTATATGTTGCACATTTTTTTAAAACATTTTTTTAAAAATTATTTTGGCTTTTTTTTTTTAGGCTTTAAATTTGCTTTTTACTTTTATACCTGTTAGTTAAAATTAAAATTAAAATTTGTTTAAATTTATATAATTCTATAATTTCTTAAGACGCCATTGAAATACTAGTTTAATTTTTAAATCCTTTTTTGATTTTAAATTATTTTTGATATCCTATGGATTTAACACAATTT